TTACAAATTCAAGCACAGTTGTTTAGAGCTCGTTTCTGGTTAATGATGTCAGAATTTACTGGTATTTTAGAATGGATGTGTTAATGGTCCTTTCCAGAATAATTTCTGAACGTCCTTGCCTGTGTAAACAGCGTTTTTTTTTTTTTGTTTTTTTTTACCGGTTAAAGTTGTTCTGGATTTTTTATATATTTTTTATATTTACCGGTATAACTGTGTGAAAGAGGCTATAATCATTTCTACAAGCTGGAAGCTGCAAATAAAATATGGGACTTTATTTGATTTGCTGAGACTTGAGTTGCTTTCTTAACCTAGTCAAGCCTGTAAATAGCACTTTAAGCTGCAAACTATCTAGTATAATATTATAATGTCATCAAGGCAGGGAAATAGAAAATAAATTAAAACTGTTTTTTTTTAAATGGGTTAAAAAAAGTCTCTTCTTTAAACAGCACATTGGAAATATCTATAAACGAATAAAATATTTAAAATAATTATATATAAACTATTTATAAACGAACCCCCCCCACCCCACACACACACACCCCAATTTCTGTTTAACGGAAATAAGATTTTTTTTCTACACATTTCTTAACATAGGAGTTTTAATAAGTCATTTCTAATAACTGATTTATTTTATCTTTGTCATGATGACAGTAAATAATGTCAATGCCAGATTCACACTTGCGGTCGTATTTTAGAAGTGATGAGCAGGACGGAGAAACGTGACAAAGCCCATAAAGAAAAGCCTATGAGAGGTCAAGCCCTCTGATCATCATGACAACCAGTGCAGCGTCTTGAGGAATGTCTTAAGAAAGACAAAAGACTAGTAAATCTAACTCCATCCCTATTCCCTTTTGTTTGCCTCAGCGCATATATCTTTTGCCTGTCATGTGACATAAAACAACTGGCCAGAAGTGCTAGATCACGTACGCTTCCCAAATAGTTTCATACCATTATGGTCATAGATCTGTCAGCATTTTTTCATCCGCAATGTAAAAGAATATACATAAATTAACAGATTTCAGTATTTTGTGATAATTGTTTTATTTATTTATATGCATCTGAATTACATTGATCTTCCTTCCATCATCTTTTAATGTTGAAAGTTTAGCATTTGTAATAGTTTGAAGTGATATATTGTCTGTGTTGGTATTGCAAATTACAATACAAAAGCCTGGTGATAATCTGCCAGTATATTCTCTGATATTTTACAGACTTAATTCTCTCTATATTGGCTTTTTATATATAAAATAAATTGTTTCAAACACCTAAAATGACAATAAAAGCATTTTTGTTAAACTGCAGAGGTGGAGTTTCAACAACAAAAGTTGACAGAGATCAAGGTCCCATAACGCAATCCTAAACTGCAAAATAACCAAAAAATATCAGTAAATCATGAAATTCAGAACCTGTCGATCAACAGATTTTCTTTTACAGTATGCATATTATTACCAGGGCCGGATTTAACCAATAAGCAAGGTAAGCAGTTGCTTAGGGGCCCTAGGAAATTTGGGTGGCCACAATAAATACCTATATATATATATATATACAGTTGAAATCAGAAGTTTACATACACTCTAAAAAAAGTAACATAACCATTTTTTTTATGTCTGATGGTAAATCATACTAAGTGATTACTATTTTAAATCCAATAGGATTACCTTAATAATAAATAATTTACATTTGTTAAATGCCAGAATAATAAGAGAATTAGAATTTTTTTTAGAGAATTTTCTATTAATTTCTAGACAGTCAAAAGTTCAAACACATTTTCTTGGTATTTTTTTTAGCTTTGCTTTTAAACTGTATAACTTTGGTCAAATGTTTTAGGTATCCTTCCACAAGCTTCTCACAACAGTTTGGAAATAATTTGGCCCATTCCTCCTGAAAGAATTGGTGTAACAGACTCAGATTTGTAGATTTCTTGTTCATGGTCGGTTTGGAAGACACATTTGTGGCCAAGTTTTAATTTCCTGGCTGAAGTCTTGAGATGTTGCTTCAGTATTTCTACATAATGTTCTTTCTTCATGATGCCATCTATGCTGTGAAGTGGACCAGTCCCTCCTGCAGCAAAATAGCCTCACAATATGATGCTGCCGCCCCCATACTTCACAGTTGGGGTGGTGTTCCTAGGCTTGTAAGCTTTCCCCTTTGTCCTCCAAATGTAACACTGGTCATTATGGCCAAAACAGTTCCATGAGAGCACAGGACATGTCTCCAAAAATTATTCTTTTTCCCAATTGTTATTTAGCAAATTGTTATCTGGCTTTTTTGTTGATTCTGGCTTGTTGATTTTCACGTTGTCACACAAGGAAGCAGTTGTTTGAGGTTTCTCCTTAAATACTATTCTACAGTTGTGCCTCCATTTAATTCAAAGGTTGTCAATTAGCCAATCATAAACTTCCAAAACCTTGACACCATCATCTGAGCTTTTTCAGAGGAATAATAATCTAATTGTGTGTAAACTTGACTTTCAAGAAGAGTTATAAAAATTTCTCAAAAAACCTCTCTCATTATTCTGCTATTAAGCAGAACAGAAACAAATGCGATAATCCTGACTTACCTGAAAAAGAAAAAGTTTAGTCACATTAACATACAGTGCATGTACACTTCTGGATTCAACTGTGTATATATATTTATTCTTTTATATCTAGTAAAGCCGATGGTCTAATAAATAAAAGAGTATCATAATTATTATGCTAAATTGTCCCCACATGAATGGAGCAGTTCAGCAGTAAAAAAATCAGATTAAGATTTAGTTTAGTAAAAAAATTCACAGGGCTATATTAGGAGTTTTGGGTCCCATGGCCGGAATTGCTTAGGGCCCCCAGATCACTAAATTACTCAAGGAGGGCGACACGGTGGCTCAGTGGTTAGCACTGTTGCCTCCAGCAAGAAGGTCACTGGTTCGAGTCCCAGCAAATACATAGCAAATCCCTTTCTAGCTGCAACCCAGTACTGGGAAACACCCATACACATTCACATTAATACACTACAGCTAATTTAGTTTATTCATTTAACCTGTACCGCATGTCTTTGGACTGTAGGGGAAACCGGAGCACCCAGAGGAAATCCACATCAACACGAGGAGAACATGCAAACTCCACACAGAAATGCCAACTGACCCAGCTGGGAATTGAACCAGTGACCTTCTTGCTGTGAGGTGACAGTGCTAACCACTAAGCCACCGTGTCGCCCTCCTTGAGTAATTATTGTTCTTATTTTTTATGTATTCTTATATCTAAACTATTTGTCTGCTGACTAAGAGTATTCATTTCTTTGTCTTATACTTAGCCTAAATTTACAACACTATAGCACTATAGGTGAATTGGGCAAGCTTAATTGTCCGTAGTGTATGAGTGTGAATGAGTGTGTGTGGATGTTTCCCAGTAATGGATTGCAGCTGGAAGGACATCCGCTGCATAAAATGTATGCTGGATAAGTTGGCAGTTCATCCCGCTGTGGCGACCTCGAATTAATAAAAGGACTACGGCGAAGAAAAATGAATGAACATGTTTGTTATGAAACAAATGAACATTTTGCCTGAGGGACATTCTAGCAGAAATGTACAATTTCACTTATAACAACTGTGTCAGGGTCTGACTTTTAAAGCTTGTCGTCCTCGAAAAATCATACAAAACATGCATAAAATCATACAATTCAATGATAGAATGCATCCTTGATCGCTATCAGCTTCTCCAGCAAATGATGTCACTTCCGAGTCAAAGCCTTAAAGGTGTATTGCACGCATTTTATGTTAAACTTAATGTAAATGGGACAGAACTGACAGAAACATGGGGACAACTGTAAATTTATTATTATTATTAGTGGCGTAAAGTACAAATTACAAATACTCAAATTTGATTTGATTTGATTTATTTTCGAACAGAAATATCGTACATAAAATATCATTAACATAATACAGTTCAGCATGGTCGAAAATGGAGTGGGATGAAGCACAAGCTTATTATTTCCCCCACCCCATTGCCACATACATCATTCGTCTAATACTTAAACTTATTTCTTCTTTTACTTATCTCTTCTTTTTACATGAGACATATTTAATGTTTGATTCCATTTGTACCTTTACATTTTGTAACAGACCCAAAAAAAATAAATAAATAAAAAACATAGTACAGCAAAGAGCCATTAATTCAATTTCCTCATGCCTTTATCATTTTATCATTTTTCAATCACCTTCATCATTATATTCCTTTAATAATATATATTTATACAACTTTTTGAATTGATTATTATGCTGACATTGTTTGAGAGTTGTCCTTGTTTTCAACCTTCTGAAATTGTGTTCTTTCAGATTATAACAACCAACTAAATTACTGTAATTAAATAGTTTTTCCTCAAGAATTGTAATTTACTAAGTAGTTTTAAAAATGTTTACTCTTATTTTGCCATAAGTAAATTTTTAGATGCAGTATCGATACTTTTTCTCCACTACTTTGCTTTAACCTGCAGTCACTACTTATTTTTTTCCTGTCTTTGGGGATTAGAAAACGTCCAACCTTAAATCAGCCAAATATCAACGTCTAATGATGTTACAGCTGGACATTGTGTGGACGTTACCACTATGACGTTTATCAGACTTTGGATACCTGATTAACAAATGTCAGTATTTGGCGTCAATATGATGTTGGTTTAAAATGTTGGCTCGTTGTTGTATTTTGGTCACTTTCCAACACAACCTAAAATCAACCAAATATCAATGTCATTTGACGTTGTTATTGGACATCAAAATAAAGTTGTCCTTAGACGCTGGCTAGACATTGAACTTTTAGTCACCTGACATCACAACCTAAATCTAACCTAATGATAGAAATAACTGGAATGCATCTAAATGTGTAAGCTGACTCTCAATGGTCTGTAAGGAAGATCAAATCCCTCCAATCCCACTAAACAGTTCACTGGGACCTCCTCCCCTTAAAAGTGGGTGGGAAGTGGGCTGTGACGGTCGTACACACAGTCTGAGGACGCCATCTGCTAGTGTTCACTCGCACACAACTGCACTTCACTTCAGACTCTTCTTCATTCACACTCACACACACACCTGAGGAATCTGAGCTGAACACCTGGGCTGCTTCTGGCGAGAGGTTTTACTGCCAAAGGTGAGTCACTGCCATTAACTCAGTAAATGTTTATTAATTGCGGTTTGACTTTTCAGCATCTACCAAAAAAAAAAAGAATGTTTATTTTATTGCTGCCTTTGAGGTTTGAGGTTTTAGTTAGTTAATAAAGTCTCTTTGGATGGTAATACACTAGTGTGCTTTATAGTATTTGTGCCAATAAATTGTTCCTTAAGCTTAAAAATATTATTTTCTAAAAGTTTGGAGTCATTAAGAGTTTTTGAAAATCTTACTCTCTCTCCAAAGTTGCAATTATTTAGAGTAGAAGTGTAATATAGTCAAATCATATTTGATAATTTACAATGGCTCAGTGGTAAGAGCAAGAAGGTTGCTGGTTCGAGTCCCAGCTGGGTCAGTTGGCATTTCTGTGTGGAGTTTGCATGTTCTCCCCGTGTTGGCGTGGGTTTCCTCCAGGTGCTCTGGTTTCCCCCACAGTCCAAAGACATGCGCTATAGGTGAATTTACGAACTAAATTGGCCATAGTTTATGTGTGTGAATGAGTGTGGGTCTTTCCCAGTACTGGGTTGCAGGTGGAAAGGCATCCACTGTGTAAAACATATGCTGTCTAAGCTGGCAGTTCATTACGCTGTGGTGGCCCTTGATGAATAAAGGAAATGAATTTTCAGCATCTTATTTTAGATTTAGTGCTAAACGATTCTATAGAAGTATATAAACTTTTTTTTAATATCATTTAATTGCTGGATATTTATATATTTTTGTTATACCCTAAACTTTAACAGGATTGTATTATAGTTTATGGTTAACAGTTTTTATGTTTAAAATTTGTATTAACCCTTTTTTAAATTGACTACCCCTTCATTATGTTGGTGGCTGTTTTTGCCTCACTGACTTCCATTATAATCACATGTTTTGATTGCAAAGTCGTGACACCATATAACCATGCATTCTCAGTTGTTGGTAGTTTTCCCTGTTGGGAAGAGGTAAAATTTGTAATTGTTACTGTTGATCATCAGTTGGCAGCATTAATCCTTTAGATATGCCTGTGCAAAAAAAAGGTTTCTGGTTTTTATAAAGCTGTGGAGTAAAACATTATATTACAGTTTTTCTCAGTGGGTTTGGTGCATTTAATTTCTCACAACACTATTTACATTTGCACAACAGTTAATGCATTTCTCAAAACAATGAGTCATTTGTGCACATCATAGTAGCAGTTTCTCATTCCTTCCAACAAATTGCTTTCATACAAGTTTCTGCTGTTTTATATCATTATCATTTGCTTATGTCATGTCAGTCAAAATTAACTCAACTTGTGAATGCTGAATAGTCATTCCATATAAAACACATAGTCCTCATCTTATTACTTGAGTCATTACGTACACAAATGTTGAACTAGTTGTCAAAATCTGAAAAGCAAATTTTAATTAAAAAATTTCCTTTTTTTCCCCAAAAATGTCTTCTAAATTGAACAATTTGATGAATGATTTACAGACCAACAGTATGTTGTAGGTTCAGTTCCAGTATGTACTGCAGTATTGTTTCCAGTTGTGCACAGCTCTACCCACAGAGGTTTATGTTTGTTGTAAATAAAGGTGTATTTATTCTCTTGCACAATACTGTGAATAAATTAGTAAAGAGCAAATGCAGCAATAATGTGAGACATACAAATTCAGTGTCTTGTACTCAGATACCTCACTAAATGCAGTGATGTCTAAGTTTACTGTAGTTTTCAAATGGCTGTGCAAATAGTATTTAGTGCTGTCTTGAGCATTTTCAGCAAGTGTCACCAAAATCAGACTTTTTTGCATTGGAAAAAATGAACAGAGTAAACTGTCATGATGAAAACACGACAAAGCCATTAGACTATCTTGTTCATAAAAACTGGTGTCAGGATTTTTCATCTTGATGACACTGACACGTTTAATGACATCAATGCTTGCTTTTGAGGAATGAGCTCTCCATTTTGAGCAAGTGACACGCTTTTGCAGGATATCAACTAGGTTTTGCAGTTTGCATTCATTGTTTTGAGAAATGCATTAACTGTTGTGCAAATGTAAATAGTGTTGTGAGAAATGCACCAAAGCCACTGAGAAAAACTGCATAATGTGTGTGCATAAACACACTTACTGTTAACTATGTTCTGAGAGCTGAGCTGCTTCATAGATATATACATTAGATGTCGCCTGGCCTATTGTTGTCTTTTGGACGAAATGCGTCAATTGCGCCGCCATCTGGGTACAGGGTAGCGCTCCTTTGAAATGAATGCAGGACCAAGGTACAGTGGAGAACTGTGGCCATCCAAAGCCAGAGATATACACATATACACATATATCTGATCAGGAGTTTTCCTGGATGTTAGTATGTAATTTTTTTTCTAATTACGAAAATTATAATTTTACATCACTTTTCTACATTGATGGATCAGTGACCGCACGGGCATTCCTGACAAAAAGCTTGTGTTTGTGTGTACAGAAATGTACTATTCACCCTCCCTGTTAAATTTGATCTAATCATGTCCTGAAACACACCTCCTCTCCTGCTTTCACTTCTCATACTGACAGAGGGAGCGATTCGTTTGTGAATGAATCCCCCGAACGACTCTTTCACTAACGTTAGCCGACAATAATACAAGTTTCTGGCAGCGCAGCATCTGGTTGTCATATTTCTTTTGCATTGTTTGCTGATTTTATTCAACAAAACTAGCATAAGCCAAGTGTTTAGTATGAGTTGGAGCTGCTTTGCCTTATGGTGAATGCAGTAAGTGACTGTTATCATCAATAATGTGACCTGTAGAGCAAAGTTCAGAACATACAAAAACAGAAAAAAACTTAATATTACCTATGAAATTTTCTGCCTTTGTGCTTTGTTTTCTTTGTTTGCTCGTTACTACACCTGTAGACAGTGCTAAAGTCCAACATCTTCACGTAATAACACTGTCTTGACTAGTGCGGTTGAAGGACATTTGTCCTGGGAGCACTGTACCAATATGGCGGCGCTATTGACGCATGCTCTGGGTCCCTATGCGATATCTAGTGTATATATCTATGGAGCTTAGATTTTTCCAGACGATTCAAGGTACAGTACGTCTACAAAGGTTTCTCTTACATGCAACCACACACACAATATTCTCTATATAAATGACAGAATCTTTTTTTATTTTTTATTTTTTGCACTGTAACTGACAATCAACAGTAAAAAATTACTAATTTTACCTCTTCCCAACAGGGAAAACCTCCAACAATGAAGAATGCATGATTATTTGGTGTTATGGCATTGCAATCAAAAATGTCATTATAATAGAAGTCATGGGGCAAACACAGCAACCAACATACAAAAGGGTAGTCAATTTGCCCAGCGTATATGGTTGAGGGTTTTCTTCACATTTTCAAAGGTGTTTTCCAAAATATGTGGTAAAACAAGAAGTCACCAAAAGTCATTCCATTTGCTGAAACACAGAGAATATTATGGCCAAATTAAGATTTAAAATCACCTCAGATTGGATGAAAACATCCCCAACAGCACACAAGGGTTAATATGTAAAAGATGCAATCAAAATAAGAAAGATTTAATTGCATTAAGAAAAAACTGAAAATTACCTCATATAGTGCGGAGAACAATGCATATTTTTCACAAGTTGTGCTTTGTTTTTATTTTTTTTCTGTAAAATTGAAAAGACAGGACAAAAGAATACTTTCTGATACTGTTAACACTTTAAAATACTTTATAAATATAAATATCATCTAAAATACTATAAACACTTCTTTTACCCAAAATGATGTTTTGAAGATTATCCCACAGAAATTTCACATATTTGTGATATCTAATAATGCTAGAACGATAGATAGAAAGATAGATAGTACGACAGACAGACAGACAGACAGACCAGTAACATAAACAGCCTGCATTGGGTGTTTTCTGAGACAAAAGAAGTGATGGTTGTTACTGTAGCTGTTTTGGACTTTGTGAATGGACATGATTGGTCAGACTTTCTCCTCACAGCATGAGTTGCACAATTCTCAGCCAACACCTGGAAATATTTTACATAAAGGCCACTGGAAGCTGATGAGGAAAATGGAGGCTTGGGGGAAACACAGAGTGGTGTGGACTAGCTATGGTCAATTGTGGGATGTTTTCTATTCGATACTGAGATTGTACCAACCTCCAGACCGCCCACAATATTTCTAGTAGATACTTTACAGCTAGTAGAACCTAAAGGGAGACTGAATCTTGCATGACATCAGAAATTAAAAGATGGATGGATAAATAAATGGATATAATGGAACGATAGATGGATAGATCTGTGTCAGAATTTAATTTGTATGAAAATTTAACATTTTCAAAAGAAGAAATGTCTCCAAAACCAAACCCATAAACAGATAGAATGTTGGATGGATGGATGGATAAATGTATAGATGTATGGGTGGATGGATGGATGGATAGTTAGATGAATCGATAGAATGATAAAACAAAGGAACGACGGACGGACGGACGGACAGACAGACAGACAGATAGACAGATAGATAGATAGATAGATAGATAGATAGATAGATAGATAGATAGATAGATGATAGATAGATAGATAGATAGATAGATAGATAGATAGATAGATAGATAGATAGATAGATAGATAGATAGATAGATAGATAGATAGATAGATAGATAGATAGATAGATAGATAGATAGATAGATAGATAGATAGATGTTATGCTTTATTTATGTTCATTATTGTTTTGACTTGGAGGTGAAGTGTGGTGTAATATATATATATATTTTTTTCCCCTGCAGGAATGGCAGTCATGGCTCACTCATTGAGCTGGTGTGTGTTGTGTTTGGGTTTGTTGAGTGTCTGCGCTCAGGACTTCTATGAGGAAAGAACTGGGCCAACAAGAGTTAAAACCAGAGGACCAACAGCATCCAATTTACAGAAACACAATGGAGACGGTGAGACGTGTGTTTAGTATGTTTGCATGTTCATCATTATACCCAACATTACATTGTAAATTTTCTACTGTAAATATATTTCAACTTCATTTTTGATGAGCAATGTAATGCTAAGAAATTAATTGAGACCAATTTAAAGATGATTTTCTTAATATTTAGGTTTTTTAGACCCCTTAAATTCCATATTTTCAAATAGTCATATCTGAGCCAAATATAGTCCAATCCTAACAACCAAACATCAATGTAAGCTTATTTATTCCATTGCATTGACACAACGCTCGATTGGTGCTAATGGGCCCAAAGTGTGCCAAGAAAATATCCTCCACATTATTACACCACCACCACCAGCCTGAACTGTTGATACAAGGCAGGATGGATCCATGCTTTCACGTTGTTGACACCCACGTTCTGACCCTAACATCCGAATGTTGCAGCAGAAATCGTGACTCAACAGACCAGGCAACGTTTCTCTAATCTTCTATTGTCCAATTTTGGTGAGCCTGTGTGAATTGTAGCCTCAGTTTCATGTTCTTAGCTGACAGGAGTGACACCCGGTGTGGTCTTCTGCTGCTGTAGCCCATCTGCCTCAAGGTTGAACGTGTTGTGTGTTCAGAGATGCTCTTCTGCAGACCTCAGTTGTAGCGAGTGCTTATTTGAGTTACTGTTGCCTTTCTATCAGCTGGAACCAGACTGGTCTGTCTCCTCTGGCATAAACAAGGCATTTGCGCCAACAAAAATGCAGCTCATTGAAAATTTTCTTTTTCGGACCATTCTCTGTAACTCAGACCAGCCAGTCTGGCACCAACAACCATGCCACATCTAAAGGCACTTAAATCACCTTTCTTCCCCATTCTGACGCTCGGTTTGAACTGCAGCAGATCATCTTGATCATGTCTACATGCCTAAATGCATTGAGTTGCTGCCATGTGATTGGCTGATTAGAAATTTGCATTAACGGGCAGTTGAACAGGTGTACCTAATAAAGTGGCCAGTGAGTGTATATTACTGTATTTCAATGTATGGGTGCTGCCCAGTTCTAAAGTATTTCACCTTTGCATGTAAAAGTTTTTTATATATATTTTATATATATATATATAGTTTTATTTAAATTTTTAGTTATTTGTATCATAGACAGCAAAGACGCTCAGTGGGTAGCACTGTCGCCTCACAGCGAGTGTATGGATATTTTCCAGTGATGGGTTGCAGCTTGAAGTGCATCCACTGCTTAAAACATATGCTGGATAAGTTGCTTGTTCAGTCCGCTGTGGCGACCCCTGATTAATGAATGAATGAATGTGTATCATAGCTGCTTTTATTAAACACCTATTTATAATGTAGGCTAATTTTAGATTGTGAATATATCGATTGTTTTCATAGCACCTCCACACATTGGTCTATCCCCCTCCTTAATACACTAGAGAGAGAATAAATATATTCCACATTACCTGGTCGTAGTAAATCACCCACACTTTATGTGCTCTGCTTATTTAAGACTTGGAATAAATAACAGGGTGAGTCACGTAATACGAGCGCAAATCCCGCAAACAGTGTGTGATCTTTTCTCCTTGCGCCTGAACTAGAGTAACTTTGAATATCGATTATTTTCTCAGCACAACAGAAGAGAGATTAAAAAAAAAATGCACATTACCTCATCATAGTAGATTACCAACACTTTGGGCTCTATTTTGACGGTCCATGCGCAGAGCGCAAAACGCAGGGCGTAAACGCTTTCAGGGCGTGTCAGAACGCATTTTTGCTAATTTAAGGACGGGAAAACCTGCTTTGCGCCGTGGCGCATGATCTAAAAAGGTTAAGTTTATTTTCTTAATGAGTTATAGGTGTGTTTTGAGAATAAACCAATTAGAGTCTCATCTCCCATTCCCTTTAAGAGCCAGCTGCGTCGCGTCATAAGTGCATTCGCTATTTACAGGACGCAAAGTAAGTCTAAGTGGAAAAACTGAGCATTTCACAAGCAAACAGTTAACAGTTTTTTTAACAGAAAATTGTTAAACAGAGCATCTACTGCGTGAGAATGAGAGATAATGGATCTACTTTCACTTTCGCTCTTGAATAGAGAAACCTTTACGCACAGACATCAATTAGTCTATAAATAATTAATTGCATTTGTTAAGCGCAAATATTCGTTTCAAAACTATTTCTAAATTCAGTTCTAATTTCCAGCAAACGAATAAATGAACAATAATATTGAAGTGTGCTCAAAAACTTGAGTTATATCCGAAAACACATGCTGTGCCCCATATGGTCTAAAACCTGACAGGTGGGCAAATCTAAGCTTGTTTTTAATAAAAAAAATATATAAATATGGATATAATAAATAATACTGCTAATAATAATAACATTATACAAAAGCAAATTGTTATGAATGAACTGAAAAAGCCTCCCGAGATGAAGACATAAAAGCAGTGATTTTTCATATTTTTGTCGGCTAGAAAATAATATGTTTTGTAATATTTTAATCCTTTATATTTATATTCTATATCTAATCTTATTATATCCTATATATTTCCTTAATATTAAATTTTTTCATATGTAAAGATATTTGCCTATTGCTCTCTTGTGCGTATTAAGCAGTGTGTAAGCGAGGTGCAACTCTGCGCCAGAGTTTAGACTGGGTTAGTTTTGGTCTAATGAAAAATCTATTTTAGTTACTCAAAATAGCAACGCGCCAGCGGTCCGCCTCAGAACGCCTTCCTTTTTAGACCAGAACGCCTATGGGCGCACAAATGAGCGCTAATGCATTTGCTATTTAAACAGCGTAGCGCAACGCCTCAAAACAACTCTTGCGTCAAGCTGAAACTACCAAACAAGTATTGCGCCACGCCTTGCGCCACACTGCGCCGGGTGTATGATAGGGCCCTTTATGTGCTCTACTTATTTGCCACTACATTCATTTATCCTGCACCTATTGCTTTGGTCAAAATGTAAATTAAATGTTGGATTTTTGTTCTTGAATTACCACACTGCTTGTAAATCATCCTTAGTCATTTCTATGGCCATCAATGCTGTTTTGGAATTGCGCTTTTGGGCAGATGAGCCTTGTTTGATAACCATTTTAAGTGGGTAAAGCTTTATAATAATGAAGTTATTCTTACATGCTATAAGCTCATGGGTCACCATCAGTGCGTCTCATGCTGTCTATGACTCATAAAGCTAGTTAAAACATGCAACGTCATGTTAAGACATACTATAGTAGCATGTCTAAAGACTGTCTTTCTAAAAGGAGGATGTCTGGTTTTAGTGATTTAGGAGGCCTGAGGCATTATCTCTCTCAGTTCTCTTAACACGAACATGAGTAATTCATATCGGTTTAAGACCCGGTTGGCTATGTCTTGTCACAGATGACATGAAGACTGATGAGCTGCCATGAAGATAATAGCGTCAGATGACAGACTGCCACAAAAAAAGACAATCATTAAAAGAATTAAAGGATTTGTGGTGTTTTTGAGGACAGTTCTGACATTCTTTTACATTTTAATGGTGCGTGGCAGCATTACTTCCGGATTTTTGTATCATATTGTCTGATTTTTACGTTTGTGCAAATACCCAGATAGACAGCAGGGTTGAGCCCTATTCAGCATTTAGTTCCAGACTTGGGCATGGGCTAGACAAGCTTAAAAGGACAGTTCACCTCAAAATGAAAATGTGCAGTAGATTTACTCACCCCCCGAGTTATCTAGGTGGCTTCCTCAGTAGAACATTACAGAAGATTATTAGCTGGTACTGTGGTTCATGTTGATTTGTAAACTGCAGGTCAACAGCTACCAGCTCTCTAAATGTAAAAAGCAATATACATATGCAGGTACACGTAAATTAATAGCTGTGGCCCCATGTGATACATTAACCTTTTATGAAGGAAAATAATTGATCTGTGCAAGAAATTGAACATATCTCACTGCATTATTACCTTTAATCCACAGCCTCGGGTCCTGAGAGTGTTCAGGACAGCACAATTACTTCTCAAATGTTGATAATCTGGAAAAAATCAATATTCAAAATTACAGATCATTTATGTTTTGCCACAACAAAAAGCAATAGCAGCTTTTCAAATTCCTCCTCCTGTCTTTCTGGTCATAAATTGAATAAAATCAGTCCTTATCTAATCTATTCTGTATAGAACTAGTCATAGATGAATAACATGAGTTTAGAGAAATGCCGTGAGCCTCAAATCCTGGTAGATACAGGCCGATTAGAACAAAACACAGAGGGCTCTATTTTAATGATCTAGGTGTAATGGTCTAAAGCGCATGGCGCAAAAGGCATCCAAATCCACTTTTGCTATTTTAAGGACAGAAAAATACAATTTGCGCCCCGGCACATGCTCTAACAGGGTTGTGCGTATTCTCTTAATGAGTTAATGAGGGTTTTGAGCATAACACGCATTAAACTGAAATCAAATACAATTTGCGCCCCGGCACATGCTCTAACAGGGTTGTGCGTATTCTCTTAATGAGTTAATGAGGGTTTTGAGCATAACACGCATTAAACTAAAATCAGTGTCTCATCTCCTATTTCCTTTAAGAGTTAGTTGCATAGTAGAACAGTTTCTCAAGCAGTTTGTGAAGCATTTTGGAAACAGGAGATGAGTCCCTGGTCTAATGCGCCACCTGATTTGAGAAACCCGTTCTCAAAGACTTACTTTTAGTCTTTATTTGGGTAGCATACATATTCTGAATGCCTTCGGCAGAATTCAAATGAGCCATTTTAATCTAAATTAATCTAGATTAATTTCAGGATTACAGTGAGATTAATCCAGATTAAAAAAAAAAAAAAGTATCTTTGCCTACTTTAATTCAGTGGATGTTTTTATCCCGATATAAAAATAACAAAAGAGTAGTAAATTTGCCCAGACTGTATCGTTGAGGTTTTTTTATTTTTATTTAAAGCATTTTCTCAAAATATGTTTAAAAATAATGTCACCAAAAATCATTCTGCTAGCTGAAACAGAATAGGTTATGGCCAAATTAAGACTCAAAATCCCCCTAGACTGGATAATAAAATCCCCAACAGTATATAAGGGTTAACCACTCCAAGAGGTGCTGAATCATCATGATAATTCAGTAGCGGCCTCCAATGAGTATAAAACCTATTGGATGAGCCTCTAAGAGAGAACTTAATCTTCTCCCGTTTCAAAACTTTCTGATAGTCCATCAGTAACACTTTTTCTCATTTTCTCTTACTCTGTGTCAGCCATCTTGGACGAGGACTGCAGCCTTGAGTTGGCTTTTCTCTTGGACAGCTCCGAGACGGCCAAGGACAACCATCAGCAGGAGAAAAAGTTCACGATGGACATTATAGAAGGCCTCCAGAGCATCCGCTTGGACACAGGCCGCAAACTCAGCTGGAGAGCGGCCCTGCTCCAGTACAGCAGTCACGTCATCATCGAGCAAACCCTAAAACAGTGGAAAGGCACTGAGAACTTCAAGAGCAGCATCGCACCGATGGCTTACATCGGCCATGGCACTTACACAACCTACGCCATCACCAACATGACCAAGATATTTGTGGAAGAATCCAGCCCGGAACGAATCAAGATCGCCCTGCTCCTCACAGATGGCTTCTTTCATCCCAGAAACCCTGATATCTTCTCTGCCATGGCGGATGCAAAGAACCAGGGCGTGAAGGTGTTCACGATTGGTATCACTCGTACTGCCAACGACCCTGTGAACGCTGCAAACCTGAGGCTGCTGTCCAGTACACCGGCCTCCAGATTCCTCTATAATCTACAAGACACAAACGTCATGGAAAAAGTCATTACTCAGATTGTAAGTACAAGCCAAGCCAATCACAAATCTTGTCCTCATATTGAATAGTTAGTTGACTTTATTAGTACACATAATTAGATAATTTTTGCTGCAAAGTTTGGCATTTGATGCAAACAATTAAATCACACGTATACATACCCACATATACAAGTACCTTATAAAAGATTACAATTTATTCAGAGCAACAATAGATGAAGGGACAAAGCTATTCCTGAACCGTTTTGTCCTACTAAAAAGCATCTGAAACCTTCAACCCGAAGGTGTAACGGAGTGGCTGACACAGAGGGATCCATTTGCAGTATGTTTATTAAACACAGTTTAATAAAAACAAGCACACAGATGTAATGCGTGTGCGAACTCACATCAAACACAACAGTGTTACGTTGCAGAGCTGGCGGCAGGTTATCACAGTACGTATGTGCAGGCATGGGTCAGACGCAGGCGGCAAATATCAAGGTTAGTGTTTAGGCTAGAGTCTAAGGCAGGCGGCGTGGATCAGAGTCAGTATTCAGTCAGAGGTACAAGGCAGGCGGCTGGCAGGACGAGGTCGATGAACAGAGCAGGGTAAGCAACGGGAAAGCAGGCAGTGTAGAGAACCGCTCAGTAGTATTAGCCTGGGCACAAAAAGACTTTGCAATGATTGAGCGTGTGTGTGTGTATGTGCTGCTTATATGCCAGAGCGTGGGTAATCAAGTGGATGCGCTGCAGGTGTGCATGCTATCAGTTGAAGTGGATGACGTAATGGTTAAAAGTCCGGAGATGGTGACCTCAGCTGGCCAGCGAGGGGAATGACTGGGACCGAGTCGGTGACAGAAGGGAGCAGAATAAACTCCTCAGTCAGAGGATGAGAGCTACAGCTATTAATGTTCTGGGCATTCCGTAAAGGCTGCCTACTATACAGGGTTCAATACTTAACTGTGATTTACCAATCAACCTGCTAGACCACTGTAGTGGCAATTTTCTTTAAAGAGGCGCTCTCTGTGGTCAACAAACAAAGTCTTACTCGGAATGTCTTTTCAAAGTTTTATTCTTTGCAAAGAAGGTCACAGTCATACAGCAACAACCGTTTCTGCAGAGTGAGACACTGAAGTCAAGTGTGTTCACCTTTTTATCTGGTTTTTATTGCTTACAAGGTCAAATCCTAATAATGCCCATTCTGACGACAGTTTCTACAGAATGAGACACTGAAGCAAAGTGTGCATTTACATTTACATTTAGTCATTTAGCAGACGCTTTTATCCAAAGCGACTTACAAATGAGGACAAGGAAGCAATTTACACAACTATAAGAGCAACAATGAATAAGTGTTATAAGCAAGTTTCAGGTCTGTAAAGTCTAAGAAGGAAAGTATTAGTAGTATTAGTTTTTTTGGGTATAGTTAGTGTGATATTCAGAGAGGCAATTGCAGATTAGGAAGTGAAGTGGAGACTAAATAGTTGAGTTTTTAGTTGTTTCTTGAAAGTAGCGAGTGACTCTGCTGTTCTGATGCAGTTAGGGAGTTCATTCCACCAACTGGGCAGATTGAACGTGAGCATTCGCGATAGTGATTTCTTCCCTCTTTGGGATGGAACTACGAGGCGACGTTCATTCACAGAACGCAAGTTTCTGGAGGGCACATATATCTGCAGAAGTGAGAGCAGATAAGAAGGAGCAAGGCCAGAAGTCACTTTGTTGGCAAACATCAGAGCTTTGAATTTGATGCGAGCAGCAACTGGCAGCCAGTGCAAACGGACTAGCAGCGGAGTGACATGTGCTCGTTTAGGTTCATTGAAGACCACTCGTGCTGCTGCGTTCTGGAGCAGTTGAAGAGGCTTGACAGAGTTAGCTGGAAGCCCAGCTAGTAGAGAGTTGCAGTAATCCAGTTTGGAGAGAACAAGAGCTTGAACAAGGAGTTGAGCTGCATGTTCAGATAAGAAGGGTCGGATCTTTCTGATGTTATAGAGTGCGAATCTGCACGATCGAGCAGTTCTAGAAATACTGTGTTCTAGAAAGTGTGTTCAACGTTCTATCTAGTTTCTACTGCTTGCAAGGTCAAATCCTAATAAGGCCCATTCTGTACGTGCGTCAGGTGCTCCGCTGTTTCTGCTGTAAGTTTCCACTACACGTTCATCTAAAAATGAATTTCCATTACAATTCCTCTCTTTTTATCATTCATTGATAACTCATTATTAATTTCATTTTTCAATTGATTTCTAAAATCACATTGGTTAATCATTTAACACTGGTTAATCATTTAACAGGTTTCTGCACACATCCAATACACTAGAGATGTTTAAACACTCTTCTTAATATAGTTTTCCCATTAAGAGTTACCTTTCAAAACATCCCTCTTCCTGGGAGCCGGGCTAAACGAATAATCACTGTTATTGCGCTCCCGATCGAAATCGGACCCTCAGTCACCCCTCAGAGGTTCAAATCACAGAAATTGCCTGTTTTTTCACATTATTGATTTGTTCACATGACAACCTGGCTCAGTCTATTCCTGTTTTTGAGACACACCTCCAAACCATGCCACCAGAGCGAAGGATAGAATAGTCTCAATAAAAGCACAATAAAAAAAGAGTAAGCATATTGGGGCCAATGTGAAAACGTGATAGTTTCATGAGACAATATAGGCGCTGATGCCCCTTCTTGCACACAGCATCACAGTTTGCCTCGAAGTTTAAAGATCGGTCAATAATGGTACTCAAATATTTGTAGCTCTCCACCCATTCTACTTTTTGACCCCTAATATTAGTTACCTCATCTGCTGTATGATTCCTTCTAAAAGTCATGTATAGACATTTGAATCCTGAAGACCTGTTAGACCAGTTCCTAGAGAAACGGAATATTTGGTGAGAAAGCAGTGGGGGTGACTTGTGTTATATATGTTTCTTAATTTAAGCAGATAAAAACCCCATCAAAATCTCATTTACAAGGTAGACAAGCAGGGTCGCCGCAGGCCGCCACGGGCCCTTACGCCCCATTCACTCGGGGCTTCAGCGTCAACTCTTGACTGAAGGCGTGTCTGAAGTTGAGGCTAATGCGATCATCATAGCAGCGTCAGCCAAAAAAATTCAGTCAGCAATAGGCCACTGTCTTGCTGGTGTATTTGCATACAGCGATCTGATTGGCTGACGCTTCCATTGGCGCTTGAAAAGTTGAGCTAGTCCCAACTTCTGCAGCAAGCAACGCCTCTGAAGCGGCGCCGACGGATCCACAATGCAGTTCGGCAACGCCTGACGTCACCCATTCAAAGTGAAGAGATTGCTTATAAAAGTGAAGAGCGGAGGGGTTGGGAGGGGGTGCATCGCTGATGAAAGTGAAAAGCGGAGGAGTTGTTGGGAGATTCAGGGGGGTGGTATTGGCTCGGGCCCTTGATAATGTCTCTGGGACCCCCCTAATTGTATGGGCCCTCAGAATCGTCCTAATGTGTTGAGAGTGTATGGGTGTTTCCCAGTGATGGGTTGCAGCTGAAAGGGTATCCACTGTGTAAACCATACGCTGGATAAGTTGGCGGTTCATTATGTTGTGGCGACCCTAAATTAATAAAGGGACTAAGCCAAAAAGAAAATGAATGAATGAATAAATAAAATGGGATTAATGGTGTCTTGACAAGTGCTCATTTTAATCGGATACACAGACAAATTAAAGGTTGTTCGTTTTTTCGGCTTTTTGATGGATTATTTCAACCTTTTTTGTCATGTTTAAATCCATTCTGCAGAATTCCATACATTTTGCAGGACATGCTAAAAGTCTGCAGGTTCTGTCTGGGCTTGTTCAAGGGTTATGGCGGGTTAAGACTGCACAATATTTCTGTCTGTTATGATAGTCTCTGTGTCAGATTATTTGATTTGGACTCCCAAATATGTATTCTGTCATGGAAATATAACAGACTGTTGCCTTCCAAAGACCACAGGCATAAATCCCGGGGGATGAAGGGAGAACGTGTCCACCCATCCAAGGGTTGTCCCCCCCTCCCCCTAAAAAAATGTTTTGTTTTTTTTTAAATCACATTCTCTATTGTGAAAAATATATGTATGTTTACCTAAAATAATTTTTAAGTAGAAAAAAAAACCCTGCAAAAAAATGAAATTAGAAACAGTTGAGTTCCCCCTCCCGTTTATCACAGTGGTTTGGCCCAATGCCTGCTTTCCCAGCTCATCTCACCTACTCTACAGGCACAAGTCAGGTGTGTGGCTCAGTTTATGTTAAACTACAGAAGGAGGCTATTTCATTTACTTTAGACAAAGTGGTTGTCTTTAATGTAGTTGATGCAGACTAATTCATAAATTAGTTGCACCAAAAATGCTGATTACTAATGTAATGTTTCCATGAATCTTTTATATTAGTAATTAAAATATTACTTATCTAGTGAACGTTAGTTTGTTTACAATAGCTTGTTGCATAGTGCACTGCAACTAACATGCCAAAACCATTTCCCATGCACTGTTTCATCTCTGACGACTTAGCATAGTGTTAACTTTAACGGCCACAATTAGCATATTGTTTTTCTGTGCATTTACTAAATGAGCACTGTGTTAAGTCCGAACCCACTGTATCTTTGTATAATAAATTTGTATTAAGTGTCTTAATTAACGTGGACACGTCTAGAAACATATAAGTACATTTATACGAGTACAATTTTCATGTATTATTTGTGTCCTCTTCAAAAATTGCTTATGAAAAATTTATGTTTACTGTCACCCCCTACTGTTAAATAAAATTTACACCCATGCCGAAGCCTCGTTGTTTGCATTTTTCAATGACATGTAATTTCAATGCATCTCTGTTGTGGAGAAGCAGAAAAAAGCACTCTATAATAATCAAAAGAGACAAGTGTAGGGCGATTCTTGAGAACTCATCAACGCATTTCAGAAAAAGAAACGTCTGAGCATGTTTTAAATGTTATGAAATAAAAACTAAAGTAGTTTCTTTTTGGGGGTTTTTGATGACTACTTTAGAATTTGATGTCTAATTTACACACAACATAGTTTCATAAACAAAATAGGGTGCCCTTATTCACCTTATTCTCTGTGTACGAGTGGGCACAGCTATTTTAATCTTTTTGGCTCGAGACTTCCGTTTAATTCACTTTTTTCAATTTATTTTTAGACATCAACAGCTCTTTTTGCTGCTTGATGTAGCAAACTGATATTTTCCTTTTATTTTATTTTGTCTGAATAATCATGCAAACACTTGTTTGTAGAGTTTTCTAGTGTTAATTATTCCGAGTCATTTCTCCCATTGGCTTCTGAATCAGAAGTTCTTAAACAAAATCTTCAATGCGGAGCTCACTTCTGCATTGAAGAATAAAATCTATATGATCAACAATGGATATTGGATTTCATCTAGTGGCGATGTTTGGTACTGTGGCCAAACAAAAATATTTAGTTATTTTGAGATACCGACTTCAAGTTCGGAATATACAGTCATTTTTCCCAACATTTTGCTTTGAGATTCTGTCGAATTTAGGGTAAATCATGTCATGCAATATACGTTTTGCAAACAAATATATATTTAATATTACATTTTATACTTTTATTGTTTTATTATTTGTAAAAACCTAAATATCTCCCCATGTTGGTGTGGGTTTCCTCCGGGTGCTCCTGTTTCCCCCACAGTCCAAAGACATGCACTATACTGTAGGTGAATTGAATAATCTAAATTGGTCATAGTGTATGTGTGTGAATGCAAGAGTGTATGGGTGTTTACCAGTGCTGAATTGCGGCTGGAAGGGTATCCGCTGTGTAAAACATATGCTGGATAAGTTGGCCGTTCATTCTGCTGTGGTGACCCCGGAATTATTGAAGGGACTAAACCAAAAAGAAAATGAATCAATTAAGGAACCTAAATAACACATCCCTTTTGCTTCATAACCTTTTTAAAACTTTTTTCTCTCATTTTTTAATCAAGATCAAGCACAGTCTGCACACCTAAGCATCAAAGGTTTGCAGAAATTTAAGTTGAAAGTTCAAATTAGGTTGTAAAATTTAAGATATATTTTTTTCGTCTCGATTGCCTGGTTGCTGCTTTATTTTGATCCAGTTAGTCTTGTTAGTTTTACAGGTGGACACAGGGCCGGAACTGGGCTTATTTTCAGCCATGGAGTTTCAAGCCAGACCGGCCCACCTCAGTTCATGACTGTCTATATTAAAATAAGGTCATATCCAATTCAGTTTCTAGTGACACTATCACGTCTTTTTCAGGAAAACAGCTGCATTAGAAATTTAAATGTTCAAAAGCCCTAACAGTATTATATGTCTTAACAATAAAAATGAAAAAAAAAAGATTATATTAATTTTCCAGGTGAGATTCGAACACGGGTCGGACAGCGTAGTAACACAACGTATTTACCACTGGTCCACACACGGTATTACTTTCTATTGATGGCTTAATCTTTTTCTCCCCCTTTTAGATTTCTGATTAAGTTATGTCAGATTTATTAATGTAGTGAATCATCTGATTTTCATTGAGCAGGTGTAATATTCATTAATATTAATTATTCGAATTCGCTGTTTGGGGTCGAATGATGATAGTTAACGTTACATCATCATTAACGTTAGTTAACCTGCAGGCTGCAGTGCATTTTGCTTTTGGGGCTGAGAGAAAATAAATAAGAAGAGCGGTGCTGCGGCAAAATAATAAATAAAAAGAGTGAAGCTATGGTCAAATAAATAAATAGATGAAAAAAGTGTGACTGCTGAGAGTGCAAGCAGCTAGGGACACCGGCCCTTACGGCCAAAAAACAGACCGGCCCACCGGGAATTCTCCCGGTGCCCCCATTTAGCCAATCCGGGTCTGGGTGGATATGTCTCAATACCTAAAAAATTAATGAACAAAAAACGTCAGCACAAAAAAAAAATATTTTAGGTTGCTTTAATTTAAATAAGTTAATCTGGTTTCAGCTATATTTTTTTAAGCTGTAGAAAGTTTAACTTCAAATTTTTAGTCAGTTTGTTGAGATGACTAGAAAAGTTCATTTGATTCAACTAAATCATTTAAGGCAGCAAGAATTTTTTTATAGTGTATTACAGCTGACCACATCTGGCCTATTATTTAATATGTATTTAAAGGTTCAAGACACCCTGGAGTACTTTTCTTTTACATTTTAATAGATTTGTGTGTGTTAAGCATCAATTAAAACAATGCTAGCACTTGTTAGCTTTAATTGTAAGGGAAACCGGATAATTTTGAGCTTTTGTCAGCTAATTTCATCTTCCAGCTTTTGAAAAAATTAATGGGGCAGGATCAAAATTGGCAGCGTAGCACAAATTTGCTAGTGGAGTGATGATGCGTCGGTTTCTCATTATCATTTATAGCGGAGTTTTCTTATCCTATGAGAAGACCCTGCTTCTTAATTATTCATGAGAGCATGAGCATTCTAAAGGCAAGGCAGACCTGCCAAGCTGTGAGACCCAATGACTGGGTGAGACCGCGTCTGTGCACGGCACGGGTCGTATGTGGTTGTTTCCATGATACATGGGGTTTGTTGCATGTTTTTCCCCTTGATTCTGTCAGGGCCGATACAGCAAAGCCGTTGGATTGCAGCAAACATTTTTGTTGGGAGAGCTGTACGAGAATTGGAGAATAGTGGACTTTGTTATCAGTTGACTTTGTTAGCATTTAGACATATGGCCTATATCTGAGCTGCTGTGTACGCATGTTTAAAATCCTCCAGATTACCGGCAGGGCTAATGGTTGGAATAGACCATGCAAGTGATCTGCTGCATTGCTGTCCACTGTGTCTGCATTCAGACCCGGGGATTCACTCATTTATAGTGTTTATATAAACACGATTATCCTTATAATGATATAACAAACTGTGGTTATGTGTATATGAAATTACATTACAACAAATGTAGCAGGGCATTAAATTACTGTTTATTTCTTTGCGTTTTAACTTTGTAAACTATAATATCATGGGTCTCCTTAAGATTTTTGTCTCATTTTGTGAGCCAACTGACAACAGTTGTTTCGCTCCCCTCTTTTCTCCCCTGCTCTGACGGCCATGCCCCCTCCTCCCTCAGCTCTCAGAGCTCCACGGCCATCTCAGAGCATTTTTGGAAAAACATTTTGAGGTATACTTGAACCGAAAGAGGGGAGTTTCATGGCCCTTTAAACACACATGAGAAAAAATAATTATATTGTGTTTTCTAGTGCATGTTTTGGGACCCCTGACACCTGACGATTAGCCTTTCCTCACTTCTTTTAGTATAATTAGAGTAAACACGTCCTGCTGTGGCTTTTCTGACGTGCATCTGAGTACATATATTCCATCACCCTTTGTTGTCGTTCCTATCATTGCGCTGATATGTATTTAAAGGAGGTTTCATCTGTCTCATTTGAGCAGAAACGCTTTGATATTATTCCAGCGTAGAGCAGGACTCAGCATGTTAAATGATAATGCTTCCTTTAATCACATTTATTGTTGCTCTGGGGAGATTTGCAGAATGTATACGGGCTGATATAATGTTTAGGAGAAACCACATAAATGAAAGGCTTGCCAAATAGCAACAATTATGTTTTCTGATTTAATGTACCAGCTATGGTTTGGACAGAATCTCATTTTTTTCTTGTTGTTTTCTCTACACAGGCTCAGCTGGCAAACGATGGGGTAAGTAAATAACAATAAAATATCATGACCTAGTTGAACTCAAGTAAGATGGTTTACAAGGACATGCCTTGCGTCCTCATAATTTAAATCATACCTAATGGGGTCTATTGACATACAAAAATGGTTACATGTATCCTACGATGGTTGGGTTTAGGAGTAAAGCCTGATTTATACTTCTGCGTCAAGTTACCGGCGTAACCCACGGCGCAGGCAACGCGCGTGGCTGTGCATTTATACTTCTGCGCTCTGTCTCTGTCGGTCTGCATTAACACTTCCGAAACGCTAGTGGGCAGTGAGGTGTTAATATTCATCTGTGTCGAGTTTCTTCTCTGCTTTTTTGCTTTTCCTGAACACTTCCGGGATGTACAAGTGGCTCAAACTCGCTCATTTTGAGACAGGAACCGGCGGACGTGCAACAACTTTAACTATGAGGTAAACACAAAACAAAACTTTCCATCCGGAGCTCTTTCACGGGACTCCACACTTGTAAACAATCGCTCGCGCCATTCGCGCAGCTCTCGGTCCCGCCCAGACTCGTCAGCGCTACCAAGCCGACCAATCACAGAGCTTATGCTACGCGTCGTTGCGACGTGTAGTTACATTTTTTGAGAGGTGCACGTCAGTGACGGCGATGGCCACGGCAAAGGGCTATGCGTCAGCGCCGTAGTATACGCCGACGTTTGACGCAGAAGTATAAATCAGCCTTAAGAGTGGGGTAAGGCCATAAATAAGTGGTTTGTACTGCATAAAATACATTTTGACTATCGAGTGTTCTTGTAAACCATATATACAAGCCTGTGCAGTATTTCCTCTGGGATTTTTTCCAGCTGTGGCGGCAGGCCTTTTTTACACAGATCTACCAACTACCTATGGCGTTATTTCAATGACAAATGTCTTGAGCGCAGTATTACAAGTCGAGATCGCATTTATGTAATTGCCTACGAGCATGTGAATCTCTTTGCTTGCGTGCTGATTTCCTCTGCTCATGCACAAAACTTCTTGCACTCCCTCAAATATACGCTGGTCAAGCGCAGATCTTCTTGTGCGCTCTCAAATAAACGCTGCTGAAGTGCGATTTAGAGCGTTTATGTAGCGAGTATGTCTCCAACATTTATTAGATATGCTAGGAATATTTATGAATGTCTCCAATAGACCTACAGAGCGGCATTAATGCATTCTGAAGTAAAGTGAAACGGCTATACGTTGTGTTTGCTGGACTCACGCATCACGCTGTCAGTCAGCCAGTCAGTCAGTCAGCACCTAACCTTAAAGGGTTAAACAAATGACGCACAGCACTACTACGATTACAGAAAAGTTATAATTCACTTACCTTTTAATGCGTAATGGTGCGTTTATCACCCGCTATTAAAAAAAAACAAAAGCACGACTGAATGTTTTGAATGAAAAGATGTAATGTAGCCATGGAGGGATCAATTTTGGCGTGGCGCCCCGTAATGGACGAATGAAAGTAGAAGAACCATGCTGTGTGTGTACTGGTTTTGGTGGTTTACAAGGACATTCATTTGTATAACATGTGTATGACCTAGTTATCCTCTATATAGGTGATTTAGGACAACATGCCTTGTGTCCTTGTAATTCAAAATGCCTAAAAATCCTGCCTAAAGGGGTTTTTGACATTATAATGTGCTATATGTTCCTATGATGGTTGGGTTTAGGGGTAGGGGAAAGGTAAGGCCATATATAAGTGGTCTTCACTGTATAAAATACAGTACACCTATGGAGAGTCCTTATAAATCCCCAATACCAAGATGCTATTTTTGGTTATTCAATAAAGTAACAATGTTTTTTATGCCAGAATTCTTATTTTCCTCATGTAACATGTCTAAAATAAGATGTTTCCATTACTCTTTTCTCCATATTCAGTGTCCTCTGTCTCAGAAGTGTGTATGTGAGAAGGGCGAGCGAGGACCCAGTGGCCCAGCGGTAAGTATTTTCACATTAAACGTCCTTCAACATGGCACCGTTTCCACACGAGCCCAAAGGCACATTTTTTTCCTCCTCTTCCTAAGAAGTTTGGATTGCTTTGAGGAATGTCAACAGTAGGGAAGACACGATTCTGACATTTCGGATAACTGCTCTGCTTTGTAAAAGTCAGGATAATTATCGTCTTTGTCAGGACCCCTCAGCACTACCTAGGGGAAAACACTAAATAAGATTCCACAAAAAAAGAAAACGCTTTAGTCTGTTGAAAGTGAAGAGAATCTAATTGCAGGTTGTGACTGAAGAACCTTGACGTTCAAAACACTTAAGTGTCCAGAATTTACGCTTTACCACATGCACACCTGCCAATGAGTTAACAGACACAATCAAATGTATGGAAGAAAAAATGATTAGCCCTCCTGTTTAACGTAGAGATTTTAACACATTTGAAAACATACAGTAATAGTTTTAATAACTAGGTTTTTTTTTGTCCTTGCCATGACGACAGTACATAATATTTTACTAGTTCAATAAGAGAAATAAACATTTTTTCATTACAGTCAAACAAAAAAAAACATCACTTGTGAAATGTTTGAAAAACATATACAAATTTCACATGAGGGCTAATAATTTAGCCTTAAACTGTACGTATTGTGATACTTTAACTGTATTCTTTTACTTGCAAATAGTGGAGGTTTGGGTGGCACGGTGGCTTAGCGGTTAGCACTGTTGCCTTACAGCAAAGAGGTCGCTGGTTCAAGTCCCAGCTAGGTCAGTTGGCATTTCTGTGAGGAGTTTGCATGTTCTCCCCTTGTTGGCGTGAGTTTCCTCCGGGTGCTTTGGTTTCCCCCACAGTCCAAAGACATGCGCTATACATGTAGGTGAATTGAATAAACTAAATTGACTGTAATGTATTTGGATGTAAATGAAAGAGTGTATGGGTGTTTCTCAGTACTAAGTTGCGGCTGGAAGGGCATCCTCTGCTTAAAACATTTGCCAGAATAATTGGCGTTTCACTTTATTCCATGGTAGCAACCCCTGATAAAGACGGGACTCAGTCAAAGGACAGTGAATGAATGAATAAACAGAGGAGGTTTTTCTGCATGCCAAATAATCTGATCTTCAGAGTTTCTACTTGATATAAATAAAATATATCAAAGAATTAAAACGTACTGAACAAGTTCAGATTCATTGGATAAAATGTTTTATGTAAAAACTGCTAGTAATGCATTAATAAAATGCACTGTAAATGCTGGGTTATTTATATGGTCAAATATCGACAAACCCAACATTGGGTTAATTTTTTGCAGTTAAATTTAAATTATGATTTTTAACCCAGTGGATTTGTTTGACTAAATTTGATCCAATGTTAAAACAACCCAGCAAATTTTTAGAGCTATTTTTATATTGTATTAATATGTCAGCATTTACAGTGGACTGATTTTAATAACAATAATGTGCCTAAAAATGCACCACTATAGAAAAATACAAATACCTGACTGACAATCAACATTTAATGACTCGAATTGAAATAGGTCCACAATTATTTTAATTGCTAAAATTGAATGAAGCGAATTGTTTCATTTAAATAAAATATTTGCCTTTAAAGTAAAACACAAGTTGCGGAGACTTTTATTTCAGTACGTTGATGTGCTTCCAACTGGAACTGAATATTGAGTAGGAGGCGGGGCTTTATTTTGTTGCATCATTCTCCCATAGCAAACTAACGGTAAGAGGGGCGTGGTTAAAAATACTGTTTTTGAAGATGTCAAACTGTCAGCATCAGAAAGGACCGCCCCTCCAAACGCAGAAGCAAATGCTTGGACTTTGATTGACCCTTTTACCAGTGGATTAAATTGACTAATTGTTCACTTAAAGCAGGGGTGTCCAAGCTCAGTCGTGGAGGGCCGGTGTCCTGCATTCTTTAGCTACAACTTCCTTCACACAAAGATCTGATTTTTGCATGCCAAGAAAGAGCTTGATTAGCTGGTTCAGGTGTGTTTAATTGGAGTTGGAATTAAAATATGCAGGACACCAGCCCTCCAGAAGAGAGTTTGGGCACTCCTGACCTAAAGAATATGAACATTGTAATTGTAGATGTTACAACGGCTTTAAAAGACAACACAGATATACTTAGCATTGGCATTGCCCTTAAATACTATGAGATGAAAAGTTCCAGCTCAATGGAAAAGTTCATTTCTGGCCCTGGTGTGGAAGGGAGGATCATGTTAAAGTCATTTGTTTAGTGACAGACGCTTAACCATCATTATCCAGGTGCTTTCACCTCTTAGAGATTCCTCACATTCCCATGAGTGTCAATTACAGGCCACGGTAATTGCTCTCATTAGCTGAACTCTGACAGAAGCAGTTATTGCTGACCAGCTACTGAATTAACTGATTTTACAAACTCCACATTATTATCCCATGTATACCTGTAACACTTTATTAGTACTTAACACTGGATTAAGTTTGATAAAAAAATAAAATAAAAAAAACATCCACTTGTTAAACTATTATGCATGAACTTGGGGGAAAAGGTTTAACCAATAATGGGCTGGCAGCCAGAGGAAATCCTAAAATGGCTAAAACTGAAATATAATTATTAAATTACTTACAATTAGTCAATTACTAAAACCATAGTTCAATAATAAAAGCGAAGCCAGATTGGGTTTTGTTCCCAAATAGTACACTGCACAAAGCAATTAGTTGACTTTACTTAATAAAAGTGAGTAAACATGTTGCCTTAATAATAAATAAATGAACTGTATTTATATGGATAATTATAAAAGTCACCTCAACATTTCCAAGTTACAATGGGTTCACTCAGTTTTTCATAAAGTAAAATAACGACCTGATTTTGCAGTGTAGGATAAACAAAAGCTTTACATTATTAAACAAACCTTATTTCATTGCCTTAACAACTAAAATGAAAATAAAGTTTAAAATAAATGCAATAAAATAAAGCTAATTAAAAAGATTAAGAAATATTATAACAGTACAAAAATTATGTTAGGTTAACACTTAAAAAACATCTACTTGCCAAGCCATAATGCATGAACTTTAAATTTAATAAACTAATTATGAGAGGAGCATGTGATATGATTGATTGCGGCTGGTCTCTTATCTGCAATCATTAATAAACCAATCAGATGAATCCAAACTTACAGTAAATAGCCTATTAAACTTCATTTTTAAATAATCTCCCCCGTCCACCCCATCTACCCCTTTTCCTCCTTTACCAGGTGGAGCTCTTTAGACCTACCTGATCTCGGACCCCCTTACAAGCCAATTGACCAGTGAACTCTTGAAATAAAATAAATTTATTCATTAAATATTTAATATTTAAATATTTATTAAATGACAAGTAAAATTATATTATTCACAGTTTAACTAACAAAATTACTAATTCTCAAATAGAATTACTGAATTACTAACAATAATTCTATTACTAAAACCAAAATAAACATAAAAGCTAAAAGTAAAATGATTTTTATTCCCAAATAGTAGCTAGCTAAGACAGAAACATAACCCAGGATTGCTATTAATTAAAACTAAAATTAAAACACAAGATATACGTATGAAAAATAAACCTAAACTCTAAAACTTTTTAAAGTTTGTTAATTTTCCTTCGGTTTAGTCCTTTTATACATCAGGGATCGCCACAGCAGAATGAACCGCCAACTTATCAAGCATATGTTTTACACAGCGGATGCCCTTCCAGCTGCAACCCATCACTAGGAAACAACCATACACTCATACACAAACATACACTACAGACACTTTAGCTTCACATACTGTACAGCGCATGTCTTTGGACTTGTGGGGGAAACCAACGAGGCTGGAACCAGTGACAGTTTTGCTGTGACGCAACATCGATAGCCACTGCGCCACCGCACCATCCCTAATAATTACTTAAAAATAAACATAAATAAATAGATAAAGTAAAATACAATTATTTATAGTTGAACTACAAAAACTGAAATATAAATACTAAATACTAACAATTCTTCTTAAGTACTGAAACTAAAATGAAAATAGAAGCTCAAAACACATTCATAAATGTGTTGCCAGATTTGTTTTCTGTTCCCAAATAGTAGCTAACCAGGATAAAAACATAAGACAGTATCGTTATTATTTAAAACTATATATATATATATATATATATATATATATATATATATATATATATATATATATATATATATATATATATATATATATTGAATATAAAAATCAGCTGCAACCCAACACTGGGAAACACCTATACACTATTGCATTCACATACATACACTACGGACAATTTAGCTCATTCAATTCACATACACCGCATGACTTTGAACAGTGGGGGAACACTGGGAGAACACGCAAACTCCACACAGAAATGCCAAGTCACCCAGCCGGGGCTCAAACCAATGACCTTCTTGCTGTGAGGCAATCGTGCTACCCACTGTGCCACGGTGATGCCCTTTACATGGAACCAAATAAGTACTAAACCTAAATACATGGCTCATTGGTTAGCACTGTCACCTCACAGCAAGAAGGTCGCTGGTTCAAGTCTCGGCTGGGTCAGTTTCTGTGTGGAGTTTGCATGTTCTCCCCATGTTGGCGTGGGTTTCCTCTGGGTGCTCCGGTTTCCCCCACAGTCCAAAGACAAGTGGTATAGGTGAAGTGAAAATACTAAATTAGCCATAGTGTATATGTGTGTGAATAAGTGTGTATGGGTTTTTCCCAGTACTGGGTTGCAGCTGGAAGGGCATCCGCTGTTCATTCTGCTTTGGCGACTCCTGATGAATAAAGGAACTAAACCGAAGAAAAATAAATGAATGAATGAATGAATGAACCAATGAATGAAAGGTTAGCTCTACAGGACTAGTTAACAGTTAGAAATCAGACATATAAGCTCATTTTTCAGATGTTGTGCAGATATTGCAAGTTAAAATTGATTGACTTCCTACGTTTTTTTTTTTTTTTTTACCCTGCAGGGAAAGAAGGGTCGTCCAGGTGAGGACGGAACTCCTGGGGCCAAAGGCCAAAAGGTCACCATTTTATCTTACTACAGCTGTCTCTCTGTCACTCTCTCTGCTTGCATTCGTGAATGTACACTCTCAGAAATAAAGGTACGAGAGCTGTCACTGGGGTGGTATCTTTTTAAAAGCTACAAATTTGTACCTAAGGATTCCTATTAATACCTCAAGGGTACATAATAGTACCTAAAAAGTACAAAAGTGTCCCTCTTAAAATGTTTAGGTACAAATATTTAAGCTTTTGAGGTACCAATATGGACCCTTTCAGTACAGATGTGTAACTTTTGAAAAGGTACCAACCCAGCGACAGCTCTACTGGCTTTATTTCCGAGAGTGTACAAGGGAAATGTGTTGAGATGCTGATTGATGTTGTGTATATTTATATTTCATATTTCTGCTTTAAATGTCATATGCATTTACTCAGATTGAGCAGAATGACAGATGTGTTTCGTGCTCTTGTTAGGGTGAAGCTGGTTTAAGTGGACTTCCTGGTCGAGAGGGTACAGAGGTGAGATATATTTAGTTTTATTTGAATGAAAAATACAATTTATTAGTGCAGATTCAGAATAAACCATCATAAAAAATAAATCATTTTACACCAACAAAACTACATGTTATAGGGTAATTCTGGTAGAAATTATGTTTAAAGGTAAATATTGCTGGTTATAATTGAAAGTAAATGAAAAGAGTATGAAAAATCTTTATTGATAATTAATTTTAAATATTTTAAAAACACATTTTTCAGGCCATTTAATCATAAGGGTTATAAAGGAGTTATTGTAATATCACTTCCTGTTTTATGATTTTCAAGTCACTTTTCTGTATTTTTGATAACACAATAGTTTTTTTTTTTTTTTTTACTGGAACATTATTAAAATATTTCCTTAAAGTAAATTAACTAAATTAAATAAATGAAAATAATAATTAAATAAATAAATTAATTAATTAAATAATTAAATAAATAAATAATAATAGCAAAAAACATACAATAAATCAATCAATGAATAATAACAATAATTAACTAAAATAACAAAATAAAAATAACAAAATAAAAAGTAAATAGATAAAAATAAAGAATTAAAAAAAATAAATAAATAAATACATACATAAAGAAAATAATAAAATAAATAAATAAATAAATATAAAAATAATAACCAAATAAATAATACATAAAATAAAGTAAATAAATAAATAGAAATAAATAAACAAATGAAAATAATAATTTACTAACTAAATGATTAAATAAATTAAAATAAATAAAAATATTAACTAAATAAATAAATTAATTAATTAATACAAATAAATTAATAAATAGAAATAAATTAATAACTAAAAAAATAACCAAATAAAGTAAATACATAAAATAAATAAATTAAAATAATAAATAAATTTAAAAAATAATTAACTAACTCAAACAGTAAATACATATATACAAATACATACATACATACATACATACATACATACATACATACATACATACATACATGCATACATGCATACATACATATATGGTTTTTACTTCTGAAACGTAAAAGTTTAGTCAATTGTAGTTTGCATTTATGAACTACGTTTTTTTTTTTTAAACTAGACAAAAAGATTAGTATCAAATATCATCGTCCACTTTACATAACTGAATTTATAAATAAATGAGATATTGCCATTAAAAATATTAATGTCTTTTTGTTTTGATCTCAGGGGAAACCAGGCTACAAAGGAGAGCAGGTACTAAATTCCTGCAACCGTTCACATTGTTTATTTTTGTTAAATCACACAAATATATGAGATTGTTATTACTATCATGTTTTCTTGTATGTCCACAGGGGGAAAGAGGAGAATGTGGGACTCCAGGAATCAAAGGAGACCGAGTGCGTAGACATAACACTATTTCTGTATTCAGTCCTTGATCATTAGAGAATATTAATAAAAGAGTATATGTTGTAAAAAATCTTATCGCATAGGGTCCTGAAGGTCCAGTTGGCACTCAAGGGTCCAGAGGTCTGCAGGTGGGTGTGATTTTGATTTATTGTTTTTAAACATTTACAGGTGACGACAAAATTATTATTCATTTTAATACTTTTTCAAAATATTTCCCAAGTGCTGTTGAACTGAGAAGATTTTTAAAGCATACTCTAAAATGCTTCTCACTCAGGGCTGCCTATGCTAATGAGGGAGAAATCGTGACTAATAAGCGGGGCTTTCTCCTTCTGATTGGCATTCCCGTTGCACTAATTCATCATTCGCTCTAAAGAATAGCAATGTGCGCTAGTAAAATAAACATTGTAAATTTTGATTTCACAACTTTACCCACCCAATATATCAAATTAAATATGATGTTACGTACGGTATGTTAATTTATTGTTTGGACATCACTACCTCCAAATTAACATATTATTAACAAATGGTGTTTTTTCATTGGATTGGGTTATTGGTTTGCATATAAACTGGGCGACAGGTTATTTCAACAAGCTAATTTTTGTTAGTTATGAGCAAATTGGTGTGCATGTAATCGTGCTTGCTGAACATACAATTTCATGTCTCCCCTGCAGGGTTTACCAGGACCACAGGGTGACATCGGTCCGGAGGGCGCACAGGGAAAAAAGGTCTGTGCCTTATAAATCACAAACCACTATCATGTCTAACATCTGAAAAATGTGCACTGTTCTCCATGTTCTCTGTTCAGTGTGTTAGAGTGCATGAGAAAACCCACACACTGAGGACTTCTTTCTGTGCTATATCAGGATATAGTCTGTACAGGAATCACAGAGTGAAAATAAAAAACTTTTTAAGACCTTTTTTAAGCAACATCAGCTCATTCTGAAAATGTTTCCGGAGATTGCGTAATATACAGCCAGAATTACTTATGGCTGCATTTCGTGTTTAAAACGAACACTACAAGGCTACTGACGCCGTTCCTTTTCATGCAACCAGCGCACCAATTACCTCCATATGGCCGGCTTTCCTGCTGTTACCAGTTTGTCCAGTTATCTCACCATGTACGTCAGCAGACTTGAGACACTGAGAGGAGTTGACCACAACGACAGAGTTCAAGTTAGAGCTGTAAACGGGCCTTAAAAGTTAGGCCCGACAGAATTCAGCCAGACAAGTTCATTTTGATTGACAGTTTTTAAAAGCCCGAACTGACATTATTCAAATGTGCACATGCACACAACAATCTTGCCTTTTTTCAAGAATGCAACGTTTATACGACTTTTAGCAATTTATTCATTAAAAAAACGTAGACTATAGGCCATTTGGAAGTTGGAACAAAGAAATAAAATAAGTCCTGTTACATTTTAACATCTCAGCGCTTTAAATAGGCCTAGGTATACATGTAGATGTAAAGACCCTGGATAAAAACCCATTGAGATCGAGATCTCATTTACAAGGGTGACCTTGCCAAGAGGTCCGCAACACACGCTTATGAAAAAAATTAAAACAGTAGGACCACAAGATTTCATCTCTGTTATTTGCAGACGATGTTGTTCCGATGGCTTCATCGAACATAGATCTTCAGCATGCACTGGGACAGTTTGCTGCCGAGTGTGACGCGGCTGGGATGAAAATCAGCACCTCAAGTCTGAGGCCATGGTGCTCCACTGGAAAAAGGTGGTTTGCCACCTCCAGGTTGGAGGAAAATCCCTACCCCAGTTGGAGGAGTTCAAGTATCTTGAAGTTTTGTTTTACGAGTGAGGGAAAGATGGAACGTGAGATTGAAAGGCGGATAGGTGCAGTGGCAGCAGTAATGCGGTCGATGTGCTGGTCCGTTGTGGTGAAGAAGGTGCTGAGCCGAAAGGCAAAGCTCTCAATTTACCAGTCAATAAACAGTCTTACTCTCACCTATGGTCATGCGCTTTAGTTCATGACCGAAAGGATAAGATCTCGGATACAAGCGGCCGAAATGAGTTTCCTTCGAAGGGTGGCAGGGCGCACCCTTATGGATAGGGTGAGGAGCTCTGACACCCAGGAGGAGCTCGGAGTAGAGCCGCTGCTCCTCCACATCGAGAAAAGTCAGCTGAGGTGGCTCAGGCATCTGTTTCGGATGCCTCCTGAACGCCTACCTAGGGAGGTGTTCCAGGCATGTCCCACCAGGAGATGGCCTCGGGGAAGACTCAGGACTCGCTGGAGGGACTATGTCTCTCAGCTAGCCTGGGAACGCCTTGGGATCCCCCCGGAGGAGCTGGAGAAAGTGTCTGGGGAGAGGGACATCTGGGGTTCTGCTGCCCCCACGACCCGGCCCCGGAAAAGCGGTAGAAAATGAATGAATGAATGAATGAATGAATAATAATAATAATAAATAGAAAGTAAATATAAAAATACAGTTTAGTTATTTAGCTATACCACATTACAATATATTAAAAGCACAGAACTTGGACTGTTGGACTGTTGTTGTTTGTTGTAAAGGATAGAGCGAAAAGATTTGATTGAGATGAGCTCAGACAATTTTAGTTCAGACTGAATGAGTATTCCAGGATGAGGGGGCAGCATGACTGAAGGCTCGCCTCCCCATTTCAGTTCGAACCCGGGGAAATGTCAAATGATAAGAATCACTTGAACGTAGGGCATATTGGCTTTTTGACTTTTGATGAAACGTAAATACACTTAGCCCTAAAATTGGCCAACACACCAATAAAAAAAGTCTTTCCCAACAAATTAAATTAAAATAAATTCTAAATCATGACGGGTATTTGAATAATAAAAGAATAATGCAAATATACTCGGTTTACATTATGCATTCATGATTTAATTAAAATTTAGTTATGATTTAAAAACCCTTTACTCACCAAGATAAGGCTATTTGTTTTGGCACTCACAAGAGAAATTAAAGATATGAAAAAGCATACTCTGAAAACTGAACTGACACCGATTCAATTTTGATCTTCTATGTGAAGCTGCATGACACAATCTACATTGTAAAAGCGCTATACAAATAAAGCTGAATTGAATTGAAAATGTCTCTTTTTTAAAAGAGACCACAGTTACATCTGCAGTGCGAAGGTCTTCGCTGACTGCAGTCGTTCTAGTTCATTTTAAGGCACTTGTGCTCATAAAGGGGGCAATTATAAACATGTTTTAACACGTTTTGTATCTCCTTTAATAGATTCTTCTAGACAGGGCTGCTGCTTTGCCAGTAGTTTCCCTAGTTTAATTTAACTGCAGGAAGCATTCAGAGGTTAAAGTGCCCTGCAGACTTATACACTCACCGGCCACTTTATTAGGTTTAAATTTAAATTTAAATTTCTAATCAGCCAATTGAATGGCAGCAACTCAATGCATTTAGGAATGTAGTCATAGTCAAGATGATCTGCTGCAGTTCAAACCGAGCATCAGAAGAAAGGTGATTTAAGTAACTGAACGTGGCATGGTTCGGTGTCAGACGGGCTGGTCTGAGTATTTCAGAAACTGCTGATCTATTGAAATTTTCAAGCACAACCATCTCTAGGGTTTACAGAGAATGGTCCGAAAATAGAGAATATATCCAGTGAGCGGCAGTTCTGTGGGTGCAAATGCCTTGTTGATGCCAGAAGCCAGAGGAGAATGGCCAGACTGGTTCTAGCTGATAGAAAGGCAACAGTAACTCAAATAACCATTTGTTACAACCAAGGTCTGCAGAAGAGCATCTGTGAACCTTGAG